TAAGGACCGTCACTTGGCATAGTCCTTCTTGCAAGATCTGCTCGAAGGTCCTGAGCTTGTCGTGCTTCTTGATGAGCTCTCAAAGCCACACGTTGTAGTTCCAAATTTGTACGATCTTGTGCGGCGGCATTAGCTGACAATTGCTCAGGGCTTGCGGTCTCCAGGTCAAAAAGATCTGGTGGACGTCTTCCAGTTGCTATCTCTATTGGTGAATATCCACTGATAGTCAACTGACAATTTCTTGCCCAAACTACCTTCTTGACCACTTCTCTGACCGTAACACCACGAAAACGTGGGTCATCCAGATCTACCTTCATAACATGCCACATACGTTTGAACAAACGTACAGCTGTCTCTGCTCGGTTCGGCCAAGGAGTTCTTGGCCCACAAGGACATTGTTGTATACCATGGAACCTGTAGTATTCAACAAAAGCATCGGTGAAAAAGGCTTCGTCTCCTACGATGGCCTTTGGAACACAGTTGTTCTCATCAGACCACTGCCTCAATGCTTGGATGGTGGTTTGATCTATGAGGTCTTTCTGTGCCGTAGCCCAGAGAAGATTTGTGGCACCATCAAGAACAAGTAGAATGATATACTTGTTCTTGTGAAGTTCAACCTCACAATGATCAGCAAAAAACAACATCACCAAAACATGAAGCTCTAATACCGGAGACTCTGGCTCGTGGCGGAGGTGCCACTGAAGTGTTACAAACACGGCAGTTCCTGACAACTGATTCATACTTCTCTAAAACAGAGTCAGGAAGCTTCAACATAGAAACACGTCTACGAAACTGAGTAGGACTCATATGGTAGTGCTTCACATGAAGCTTATAAAGCTCTACCTTGTCCTCCAGTCTCTGTAACATCTTCCTATATGCCGGTGTCATTGCAACAACTTCACTACCAGGTAATGGGATTGAAATCCGCCTAGGCTCAAGAGCGCCATCACCTGGTTCAAGTGGTTCATGTTTATCACTTGATGGTCCTTTTGATGCTTTAGGAATTTCTACAAGTTCACCTTCTGGCCTCTCAGGTGGTTCTGAGGGAGCATACTCCTCAAGATCATCACCCTTTAAATCATTCTGAGGCTCAGATGGTTTTGACTTGTGTCCTTTCCAAAATGGATCAAAACCCTTGGAAGTATACCGAAACTTTGGCGGCACGGGCTTTTCCGCGGCACTGGCTGGTGCACCTTCCTTCTCTGACGAGAAGCCTGGTTCCCTGTCCTTTGCAATGGGAACCTTCTCTGAGGAGGAGCGCACCACTGCATCGGGATCACCAATGCCACGGTGCTCAATGCCAGCCTTCCTGATCTTTAGATCTGGAATTTTGGCATCTGGCTTAAATTTAAAAATTGTTCTACCACGCCATTCATAGCCAAGTTGTAGGTCCTTCCATTTTGCCTTGCGCCAATCATCTGTCTTCTTGATTTCTTCTCCTCCTGCTTTCTTCTTGATGATTGTCAGTCGCAAGTCTTCCAGCAAGTCAGTGTCTACAGGACAGGACTTAGTTGCTGGGAAAAGAATTTTCCTGTAATCCTTGTGGTGACGTATCAGTTCTCTCTTGTGAACATCTACTTCCCAGAAATCAACCACAGGATATGCATGCTCAGCTTCACCTTCATCACTATTGTGTTCAACAGAAATATGGCCATATTCATAGTGAGTGAGGTGAGAGTAAAAACTCTTCTCACGCTGAGTCTGCCAACGCACGTCAGACAGATACCATGCAATATCTTGGAAGTCCAACACAAGATGAGTACTGGCTGCAACCTTCAACTCCAAAAATTTGATACCAAGAGGCACCGATGTCAGATAAGCATGTCGAGGTGTCAGCCTGAGTTCAAAGCCTAAGTTCCTCATCTGTGGCAAGCTCATAAGCAAAGGGACTTCTCCTTCTTCCACTATGTCGAACTCTGTTTGGTGGATCGTCCATGCACGATCATACATGTAAATCACCAGTTTCTGAGAGCAAGTAGCCTTCTGGGAATTGGCAAAGTAAAACTTGCTCTTGGTAGACTCAAAGGAGTACCATAATCCACAATCTGGGTGATTGTCGACATAGTTGCAAAAATGGTCGACTGCTCGCCTTGATCCCATAGCTCTAGTGCATCCAATGTCCAGGATTGCAATAGTTGGCGGGAAGCGATTCTCAGTCAAAAATGAAATGGCCTGCATCTCCTTCACTTCTTCCTCAGCGCTCATAAGCGCAAAACCATCAGCGCTCATAAGCGCAAAGCCATCAGCGCTCATAAGCGCAAGGCCATCAGGAGCCTTTGTGAGCATCTCCTTTGACAAAGAGTACCTCACAGTGGCACTCATGTCATCAAAGATCGTCTCACCATTGTTGACCACGCAGTCAGCTTCATCTTGGCATGAGGTCATCATGCCTGACAGCAAGTCCACCTCACTGTCATGGACTTCAGCTGCTGCTGTCACACAATGTGCTAAGAAAACTTGTTGACCTCCTGATGCTTGTGAAGTTCTTGAAGGTGCAGGTAAAGAACGTGGCTGTTGTTGATTTGCATAGTTTGCATCTTGTTTGCCATCTCCTTTATCTTTTCCTTTTCCTTTCTTGCCTTTTCTCTTGCCTTTTCCTTTTCCTTTGTGGGAAAACCATGCTTCTTCAAGTTGTTGCCAAAAGTCATTGGCATCATCATATTCTCCTTGAAGATAGTCATTCATATCCTCGGCAAGAATGGCATCATATGCTCCTTGGGTTGACTCCCAAGTGTCCTCATAAGGATTCTCTTCAAAGTACTCTTCTGGATATGTTGTCTGTTGCTCATCAGCAAAATGGCCTTTACCTCGTCTCTTTCCTTTTCCTTTTCCACGAGGTCTGAAGAATCTGCGGCCTGATCTTCCTTTTCCTTTTCCTTTTCTTCTACCTTTTCCTTTGCCTTTTCTGGCTCTTCTTCCTTGGAATCTCCTTTGGAACCACGAGAAGTTTTGATCATCATATACCCAAAAGACATCGTCCAGGGCATCTAAAAATCCTTCTGTTCCATCTTCTTCATCTTCGGCCCAATAGCCAAATGTACCATCGAGTTCTCCTTCGTCTAGTACGAGAAATGATCTTCTACCTCCAGCACCTGTCGGCTGCATCAATGGATTGTCTACTGAAGTCTTTGTCGTGCAGAACATCTCGATGAACACTGTCCTCAACTCTGTTGTGGTGTATTGCTGCAGGTACCTGCCACGATGAGTCATCAACGAAGTCAAAGTGTTTCGCTGGTCCTGAGACAAATCTGCAAGGGACAGCATGAGTAGGGCAATGAGATTCTCTCCTAAAGGAAAATCATTCTGATGAAGAATTCTCATATTGCCATTGACATTCTGCATGATTTCCTGAATCCTTTCTGCCGTTGGTGCTACTCCAGTCAACGCTGCATCTGCCTGCATCTGAGCAAGGACTTGGGGATGTGCTTGAGTGACTGGTTCTAACATGTCCATCCAACTGCTCATAAGCCTTTGGAGTAAAATCTGGAATCTTGTCATCCATTTCATCATGTCAGCTGATCCTCGATTGAATCGCACGAATTGCATAAACCTGTATAGGAATACATTGGTTGATCCTTTCACGAAATATGGTCGTAGTACTCGTTTGAAGTATTCTACTCCTGCTCCTGGTGGCTCATTAGCCTTCAATGAATCTCTGTCTAATACACGTTTGTATACTGCTGCTTCTCCTTCTAATCTGTTTCTCAAAGCTGGTCCTCTCTTCTCATCTTCCAGCTCGGTGATATCACACCAATCGTCTATGGCATCCTCATAGGAAAACCATGAAGTCTTTCCATCATAAGATGGGGGCACCTTTGTAGTGACCTGTGTTGTCATTGCTATTGCTGCTGGTTCTCTTCTCACATGCCTATTCACGTAGGCTGCTGGCTCATAAGCCACATCCGCATCAAGCTCTTCCCAGTCGTCAATCCAATCCATGGCCGTTTGCCCACAAGCAATTCTATGCCTAGGAAAGGAGCTCACCTGGGTCTTCCAGGATCACTGCTCCGCTACCACTGAAAGAGTGACTAGGGCGTACACGGTAGAGGTGCAGACCGCTAGTGTCTTTTGCTCTCGCAGAGTCTTATCCTTAGGTCCATTGACCCTCTCTTGAGCCTTGAAGCAGTCAAGCATGGACACACTATATCAGCTGTTGGAGTGGAACCCTGTACAGGTAGGCTCTACTTTTCAGGGGGTGGGGGGTGGGGTGGGTTGCAGTTGGCAACCAGACAGTGCAGACTAGTCGTAGCGATGGCCTCCAACCTACTAGCTCTGACACGCATTCCGAAGCGATACCGTTCCCGCGTTCCGAAGCGAACTATTTTCTGCGTTCCGAAGCGACTCCCTCGCCCCCTTTATGGTGGTCAAATCAACTTGGCAACTTTTTAGTGTCCCAAGTACGGGTGGAAGCTGAACAATCTCCAAAGCTCTGTACGAAGTTCGATTTTCCATCCATGTATGGATGTGCTTAAGGTTAATAAAACATTAATGTTCAGTTCTATTAACCTATGATAATCATTGATAATCTATGACTCCATGTCGATCTGAAAAAATAATGAGTAACCCAAATGAATTCTGTTGCAGGTGTCTGAAATCGGTGACAACGCCCTAGCCTATGCGAGCAGCCGCCCGCTCGCGAGTAGCACGTGGCCCTGGACATGGTTGTGCTGCGTGACAAGAAACATGTCCGATCATCCATGTCGTGTCAATTTCAGACCATTGATACAAGTCGCACGAGTTTTCGGGAATTCCCCTGATCCTGGAAGGGCAAGGAGCTGCAGGGGGCTACAGGCACTGCTGGAAAGATGAGTCTCTATAGAGACCGGCAGCAAAGAGATCGGGCAGTACCTGCTTCGAAGGTGTGTTTGGAGCCTCTTAAAGCCTTGGTCTTTCAGAGTCTCTCACCCTCTGAAGAAAACGTATATTCTTGTGGATCCGGCGAATCGTCCAGTCTTGCAATCGCTGTGAAGTGGCTTCTTCCGCTCGTGACGTCCACCCGCCCGTCCTGTGACCGGGTGCCCAAGGCTCCCTCGGTGGACTCCTAAAAAGGTGGAGCAAAGAAAAGACATCTGTTGTTATTTGCTGTTTTTCAGGGGAACCGTTAGTAACTAGCATGGCTGTGTGGATGTATGTAGCTGTTTGGGGCTTATGTTGTCTCTAATTATTTCGAAGATGAGTCAGGTCAAACAATTGCAATACAGTGACGAACATCCTTACATACAATTACATATAGGAAAATCTGCCGATAATTAATAAAGATGTTAGACTGGTTGGTTGGTGGTTTCAACTCAATTTGAAAAATACTATCAAAGGATTCAATGATGATTCAATCATCCTACCAAGTAAAGGCTGAAAGTAAAAAAACTGAAAGTCTTCGCCTTCGCTCCACAATCTCCATCCAGCTGTTTTTGAGCAAAACGTAAGAAAACAACATCCTATGGCACCTGGTAGAAGAATCCCACGTCTTATTTCTGCAAAGCCTCGTGATGTACATCGTTGTGCTCACGTGAGCTCTGAGCTCTGTCTGTTTTGTCTATTAAATGTCAATAGAAGTAATGCTCATTGCATTGTTCATGCATATCTTCTCTTGATCTTCGCATATGCGCGTTCTGCATCTTCTGCCTCGATCCGCTCGTGTCCTGCGTCTTCTCGTGTCCGCCGTGCGGACAGCTTTTCTGCGGCGCCGTGGACGGCGTTCACTCCGCGTTCAGCGACTGCGCGGCACCACCGGTGGACGCGATGATCCGAAGGAGTGACCCCCATGGAGTGCGAGGATGAGGGAGTTGACCCCCCTCATTACATAGTGGCCATTGCCATACTGATAACAGAACCAGATGATGTTGATGTCTGTATGGAGTTCGAACCATGGTTTTTGGTTTGCTTTGAAACAGGGGCCATGCAATTGCCAATGCCATCCACTTCCATGTGATGTGTTCGTCAGAGTGGTGTCCATTGTTTTTTTGCCACCATTCTTTTTTGGGGGGGAGGGTTGCCTTCGCACACGCATCATGAAGCATCAGAACGCAGAACGCAGAACGCCAACAGCATTTGTGGAAGTCAGTCTTATCACATGCTTTGAATTTGGCTCCAAGACTCCCCGTCTCACTTTGATACTGCCAACTCTTTCTTATCAATTCTCCACCAAGCTGCTGCCACCTGCCCATCTTTCTGAACGAGTATTTTTGTCGACTCATGTTGTAGCCATGTTCCCGAATGTTGCCATCCCATCCCTGTGCCACCCCGCCGCTCCCATCTCATCCCTTGGCCCTGGACGGAACGGCCTGGCCTGCTGAGAGGGCCAGTGCTGGCACATGTGGTCGTCGCACACCTGCGGTACCTGCAAGGTTCGGGGCCCTGGTGTTGTCTCAAAAAACATGGCAAGAATCCATACCGAGCGGTTTCTGATGCTCTCCCAGTCTAAGACTCCCTAGACCGAAACCTACGCAAATGAGAAAGCTGTATCATCTGTATATATCTCTGCATCTTCTTTTTGTTTGAAGCACCAGGTTGTTGAGGGTGCGTGCAAGTAACTTGTCAATCGGTAGAAAAGCACTGTAGCCACACCTGCCCCATTCATCACTTGGCCCCAGGCAAAGGCACTTGGTGCCCCTCCATTGTCTCTGCAATTTGTCAGTGCTCACTAAGCTTCCCTTTGGGCCCCGGGCCCCCCTGACCAAAATTATGGTCCTGCACCCCCATGACCCGCCCTTATAAATAGTTATATATCAGGGCCCCCCCCCAGAGTGTTAAAAATCCCAATAGCCCAATGATTCCACTGGCAGAAGCTGCCGTGTGGAAGACTTAACCCAAAGGAGATGTGCAAGAAAGGCTCTGGCATGCTGTGGCCACCAGATTTCGCGCGTTCCCAAGTCGAAGAATCCGAGGGTTTCGTGTCGCCTGCAGATGGACGGCTACCAGTTCCACTTGCGGCTCGGCAAGGCAAAGGTCCTAGAGATTGGCGAAAAAAACGACTCCGTATGAAAACCCCTCATGATGACTCACATGGAACCTGAAAACCAATGAAAACCACTGGTTTGTAGAGGAATACCATCTTCCAGGGGGCCAGGACGTCAGGGTCCATGTGAGCTTTTCGGAGCATTATACCAGCTATCGCAAGCCCTGCGCCCCAGCGCGCGACTCTGGCGACCGCCGTGGAGCAAACTCACCGTTCGACAGCCTTCAGCCGACGGCATTCAGCTCTTTCCCTTTCAGTCACAGGGCTGCGTTCATGATTTCATGTGCTTTCTTGCAAGAGAAGCCAATGAAGCCAAGCAAAAAAAGAACTGCAGGGATTGGTGTCTTAAGAGGGAGAAAGGATTGATTCGAAGTCGGTCCGAGTCGGGGGATCGAGTGGACTGCGGAGTCCCAAACTCTTAACAGGGCTGGGTTAAAAGCACCCTGGTTGATTATGCGAGGTTGAGGTCAGATTGCTCAACCCATGGGCTTGCTGGAAGTTGGGTTCCTCACAAACGATTCGGACAGCTCAGGCTGCTTCAGTCTCCTTCACTGTCTGCAGGTCGTGGAGCTTCGCATCGTGTGGCTCCTGGCAAGCAGCTGGCGCCAACGATCAATGTGGCACTGAAACGGTTGGAGGCCATCACTAATTCGCTTGGAGGCCATTGCTTGTAATGTAGACTCTTGATTAATACCCCCCCCTTTTGAATTGAACATCCTCTTCATATGGGTGGTGTATGGTCCTCAAGAGTCTACATTAGGTCGGATATCACTTCGATGTCTCTGCCTGATCGCTCTCTGACCGATCTCTGTCTGTCCTGGATGTCGAGCTTGGTTGGGCCCAGCCGACCCTGCAGGGTGAGGAGGTGGAGCCGGCATTGAAGTACACATGAGTGACGCACCGGTGGGATCCGGTGGGTGTGGTCTCAAAATTAAACCAACAAAAACAACATTGCCTAGTGACTAGGGAGGTTTACTATATAGATAAAGGGCATTGAGAAAACACGGTTTTCATGGTTAATCCCAATGAATCCACGGGCCTGACGCAATCACATGACTTTCTCTGAAACCAGGTTCCAGTTCTTGCTCGTTTCTCTATAAGAACCCAGATAGTTGCCAGATTTCTTTATACAGGTTTCTAAATGCTGCCTGACGCTGCGTGTGTCTAAAGTCTAAAGCTATGTATATTGTTGTTATATGTTTTTACTACTCTTTTGCCAGTTTGCAGCTAGAACCCACCAACCCAGCTTTTGCAAGAATCACTTGACTCACTTAGTGGCGGATGCTGCCCGCTTTCACTTCGCTGCTTCGCCTGAGACCACGGGGCGGTGCTTCAGCAGCGCCTTTCCGGGTCGGCGGGGTGATGAAAAGAACGGAATGAACGAAGGGCCTTTTTGAGTGTCAGGTGTGAACCAGAATCACGATAGACTAGTGCTTCTATGTGCTTCTTTTGTTCAGTTGTTCTGCTTGTCTTGGCGTTCGAAGAGTACAAAATCAGTGTTGTGTTGCATAGTCTATGAGCAGCCAATGGTGTAGGATGTGATAGGATATGTTTCTTTGATTTTTTAACGGGGTGTCTGTGTGATCTACCCACATCAACCAGTTTGACTTCTTTGGACACGCCCGGTCGTCATGTTCACAAACTCATCACTCGTTTAACTGAAAAAGGCAGGCTTGGTGCGCCTCACAGTCTTGGCATGGCAACAAGATCTTGAGTCAAGGCATTTTTTGAGGTGCGTTTTCGCCAGAGAATGTCAATCTTCACCGAGACATCATCAGCAGTCATTACCAAAAGACACAAGTGCAGTGTCCCGTCGAAACATGTCCAGCGCTTGAAAACGGCTTAGCAAAAGCTTTCACCGTTGGCCATCGAGAGATTCTGTTCATGTCCAGTTTCCAAACATGGTCTTTTGGAGCTAGAACTAGACCTGATCAATGGCAAAGGAACACAGGGTGTGACAATCCCACACAGACATGCAGCATGCGTGAACATTCACATCGTCACGGGCTCAGGCTCGGCAGACTCAGGCTCGGCCTTCAACCGGTCCTCGCGAGGAGAAGACGAAATGATCCGAGAGGGGTCGAACTGGAGAAGATTCCCAAGACGATCTGCAAGTTTGTTACCTTTTCTTACTGCCATCTATTCGAGGGGTTACGTGAGAAACAGTAGCTGGTAGCCTGCTGTGACACATGTGGGAACATATTCTGACAGGTTGCAAAGGTTTAGAGAATACTGAGGCTTGACATGGCTTGTCCAAAATTCACGCACTGCTTGACAGAACTATTCCTCCAAGAATTGCACCAAAGACATCCAAAAACAACTCCATAGGCAAGCCATGCAGTGGGCCTGGATACTTGGAGTGCTGTGCTGTGAAACATCTTTGCCGTGCCATGTTTCCAGCCTGGCCGTGCCATGTCTCAGCCCCATGAAGGTCCCAGGGTCAGAAAGTCCACCTCCACACGAGGTCCATTCAACAGTAGCAGTAGCAGCTGTCTATTCCGTGCTACCAGTATCGTCAGGTATCCATGGCCACCGGGAAAGATCTCATTTTTCCGAAGACCAAACAGGTTGTGCCATCCATGTAAATAGCTTCCGTGTCAAAACACCTCACAGTTAAATAGCTTTCGGTGCCATCCACGTAACCATGTTTGTTTGCAGGGTACCCTTGAACGATCGACTCCTTGATCTCCGCTTCATCACTCGAGACTGAAATACGACCTGTGCGCCGTTTTGGCCAGGCACAGTACCGGCAGGAATATTATACCGCAGAACATCTTGACGTTCTCAGCGTGGCGATTCCAATATGTTCTACTTAAAGTAGACCAGTTTACCTTTGCCCGAAAGGATTTGTTGCTGCAGTTATATAAAACGTGTTGTGCTCCATGATTGGAACTCTGCAGCCCATCAAGACCACTCTCTTATTCAGATCGAATCCGATTTGGTGTAATCCTTATATCGAACAGGTCCAACGGACAACGTACAAACTAAAAGCAAGAGTCAATTCAGCAACAATACAACATGCCACTTGAAGGTCAAATTCGGTGGAATGGTACTGCATCAGTGGACTTTGCGTCATGACATCTGCATCTGCATGTGTGTATATATATACATACACATACACACACACATACCTTCAACAGCCTCCATAACAGCCAATCCGAAAACTCCGTCACATGTTCGTGGAAATTGATTCGTGAAATTGACGAACTGGAATCCAATGTGGAGATGTCCCATTCCCACTGATAGTGGATGGTGTAGTGACTGCTGCTACACATGGTCATGATCATGACCATCATAAACATATTACCATAGATTAACATATATTAACATACTAAAATAATGGTCAGAATGGGTTTTAATATAAATATATATGTTCACCAATGACTTTGGGGAGAATGGGGCAACCCCCTTTTAACAACTGGACCGTGGTCTTCTTGAGGTTTTCTCTGCTCTTCTATAGGAAAGTCTCGGTTGAGCTGTTGATGCGCTAGGACGCTAGGAGCGTTCGGACGCTACTAGGGGCTCCTGGCCTTACTACTAGGAGCAAGGACGCTCCAAGTTCTCAACATGTCTCTTTTCAGGTTGATCGGCACGAACAACTCGATCCCGCGCCTGGGGACTCAGGCTCTAGCTCCTGGCAGGTGTTTGGCGTGTTTGGCCATGCGAGGAAACAAGCCCCTAGTAGCGTCCGATCGCTCCTAGTAGCGATGCCAGGAGCCCCTAGTAGCTTCTTAAACTACTTTGAATGAAAGACTATCACGCCGTTGGTCTTTCTCTTCAAAGCCCTCTACTCAATGTGAAGGTCTATGTGGAGGTGGGACCATGTTATGCCTTTTGAACCCAAGGCCATCGGAAAGTCATATGCTTTTCTTCACCAAGTGTTTAGGTCATATACTCAATAAGAAGTCAAGAACGCTAAAACCTTGCTCCAAACAGTGACAGATTTGAACATCCATGCCCAGTGAGTCAAGGCCAGGATATTGGTATAAATATTACAATATAACTATATCAATACAGTATAACTATACTATAATCTCAATCAACCAAATGACTGTGAGCCCACCCCCAGGATGCTGGTTGACCTCTCAAGGCATCACGTTGCAAGTCTGGTAAATATGCTTTGAGTCAACAAAAACACAAATCCCCATACACTCCCTGGAACTAACCTGGAAGCGGATGGCATGGCCTCTAGGAAGACTACTTTCCTGTACGAACAGGGGGGGGTTCCACTTCCATGTATATAAGCTCCAGGACGAGTATTGAAAAGGCTTCGCTCTTTTCCCGCTCCTCACCAGAGGAGGCCGGCACTTCAGAGAGCCTCAGCAAACGGACAGTGTCGAAAACTGAGGGGATCAGCCAAGTCAAACCCGGCTAAACGCAGTAGCTTTTGAGTCGCTGTTACCTGCAACTGGGTCTGACCCGGCTGGCTACGACGTAGGGAGAGAGAAGCACTCACTGTAGGACGAGTGATCCTGGTTCCTGCGACCAGGTGAAACGGCTCAGGTGATGATGACGTCGTCCCTTCAAACGATGACCGTACCTCATTGACCCCGAAACACATCGTTCACGGTGACTCCAAGATGGAGAACTGCTGGTTGTCTCGTCCATCAAAGGCCAGGGGATTGTATTCTTAACAGCGGCAAAATGCATACTGTATCATACTGATGCATTGTTCTCAGCCTCCGGCAAAATTATTTGATCCATTAAACATGGCATATAAAAACTTATCATAGGAAATGCCTCTGCCAGCCGTCTGCCACCGTTCCTACCAAGGTCGACACATGAGGAAGTCAGTCTTGGCTGAGAGGAACTCCTGCGCCCAAGCGCGGGCATTGTGGAGGTCGACAAAGGTTGCAGTCGGGCATTGTAAAGCAGCATGCATACTACGGCCATTATCCGGCTATTCCATTGTTTTCTTCACTGCATGCTGTCCTTCTTGAGAATTGACTTTCCACTCACACCGTGATCTTAAACGGGCGTAAATTGATGAAAACGGGTCAAGCAAATACAAACGACTCACTGTCCGGGCACCACCCGAGGGGAGGATTGAAACAGCGTTCCCCACGGCCGCACTTCAGCAAAACACTGCGTGGATCGCATCGACTCGTGCATGAAAAGTTCTCGATGATCATGAACAGTTCTTGAGGATCTTGGATGGTGACATGTCAACATTGTCCTGCACATCATGCATATATGTAATCATATGTACCTACACACCCATTCTTGGGGGCACGCCATCCCCTCAGGATACCCAGCCGATGAAACATCTACAGTTTACAGTCAATACCTCAACCTATCTAAGAAGTTGAGGTTTGCCTGCCCTGCCTGTTGTAGTAGCAAGTTTGCCAGGTCTTCTTCCAAAGACAGCAAACCTGCGATATCCATTCATCCGCTCTGTCTGCGGCTCTGTCTGCATCCGCTCCGCAGCTCCTCATCTTTGAGCCAAGTCTCTGGCACCAAGTGATTTGCTCCTCACATCTGAGGCGAAACGGACGGCTGCGAGGCCATAAGAATGCCGGGACGGAGGTCATGTTGATCTGTACCTATTGAGCACCTTTTGGGGGTATACCTCGTAGGGAGACCCCCGAGGTGGGATGTCCCTCACGTTCCCACTTCAATACAAATACAATCAAGTACATGCATCTGAAATGCATATTATCAGTCATCTGATCTTATATACATATATTACTAGGCTAGCAATATACATAAACGTCTGGTGCCCTTGGTCATTGTCATTGACCAAAAGAATTGAGAAATGAGGACACCCCTCCGACTGCTTTGGAGTCGCCTTTGTTCTCTGAATATCGACAGGAGACTTCAGGCGTTCATTGGCCTTGTGATATATTTTTTGGTTTGCAGCAAGCCCTTCATTTGTGAGGGTTGACAAGGATTATGAAGGCATTGAGTGGAAAACTGTACTTGACTCTCACAACAAAGAAGCGCTACAGTCAGTTGTGGGTCCCATTCTGAGGTGGTTGCAGTAGTCTGAGTGGAAAGCTACATCGTCCACAAATGGGCTCCAGCAACACCGGATACTGCCAGTCGCTCCTGTGCTGGAGCTGGACCAAGCAACTGCCTTGGAACGGAGGGAGGATCTGAAGCCTCTCATCTGATAGTAAGGCTTAGTAAGGAAGGATGATGAACAAAATGGATGAACGGATGGATGGAATGGATGGCCACCATGGTGGATATGGTGAAGTACGCATCACACATGAGACAATGATGAGAATCAATCCCTACAACAGATCCCAAACTCCTACACGGCGCCATAGCAACAGAACCTTCACGCAGCACTTTCTGGAGAAAGGTTCAACACTGACCCCTTCAGATCAAGCTTGGCCGAAACACCCCAAAAAGGTTGCAAACCCTGGCAACCCTCTGTGAATCGCGTCGCACCTCGAATCACCATGCCGGTGTTACCCATGAATGAAGTCCTCCCATCCTTCTGAATGGCCAATTCAGAAGCTTCAAAGTTGGATGATTGGGTGATGCATGGTGATACTATGGGGTGGGTGGGAGTGTGGAACTTAGGGATGTCCAACCCCCCCCCTCCACCTATCCTGTCCAGTCCTATCCCCTTCTCCGTGCTCCGGCCGAGCGGGTCAGCTCTTCTGCTTCTGACGGTGTGATGGCCTGGCATCGCGAAGATCACGCCGTTCAACGGGCCTCGACAAGGGTGTTTTCTAGATCTAAGGAATCTAAGGACTTCCTTGATTCTCTGCAAGGAAGTCCCAAATGTTCCAGCTCAAAGACTCAAAAGTCCTCTTCGAGGCGATAAGGTGTGAGGTATTTGTGGATTTGAGAAAAAGCGGTGATGGGTCCACAAAGCCACCGAAGTCTTTAGCGGCTTCCACCAAACACATGAAACACCATAACATTACGGTTCGAGATGGTTCGAGCAATCCTTTCCACGTCGGAACAACCATTGAATCCAGGAGAACAACAACAGGGAGACTTACAGGAAACTAGTCATCGGGACCAGTGACCAGTGAAGCAATACCTTTGCTTAGAATCTAATTAACATTTGGATATCTGTTAGTATTGCAATCTTCCTCTCTAAGAGCAGGGGTTGCTAGCTTCATGTTTACTGAGGTTTACATGAACACAAAGAATCACATCCAAGCCACCAAAATCCCAGGCGTCCCAATGATACCTTCATTGGGGTGGATTTAGTGGTCAGTGTACCTTAACCTTACATCTTAGATAGATGGTCAAGGATTTGGTGTTGTAACATGTCGCAACCCTTAACGTTGCTGTTTTCGCCACATAACTCCCATGCACCCCAGTTGATGTGGGACCCTTCAGCCATTTCAGTCCCAAACGCGATTCAGCCATTTCAGCCTCCACGACATAGGAACGGGATCGACAACCTTGCCGGAAGCTGACTTTGTTTTGACCCCCTCAGTTTGTGGAACATATAGGTTAACCGAACTTTCCAGCTGAACCGAACTTTCCAGCTGTTGTTGTTTTAGTGGAGAAACCAATCCAACAGAGTTTTGCAGGTTATCCACTGACTGGGTAGGTATCGGACCCTGACTACTGCTTGGCTACCTAAAGTCCTAAAGTAATTATCTCTTGCAAACAGTCACTGAGCACCAAGGTGAGAATGATTGAGGATACCTCCAGAGGCTGGGCCACGCAATTCCAAGGCATGAGCTTCCATTGGGCGAGAATTCATTATTTGGAGATATTTGGAGACATGTTCATTCATGTGATCTTGCCTGATCTGCTTTGCCGATCAGAGAAAATCATGCAGAATCCGAGCATGTAACTTCTTACGAGTGGCCACCATAAACGATGACCCATGCCGTCGGCACTCTTGTCCAATCTGCCGCCCAAATCCGCCCTGATCGGGCTCCCCTGCTCGCCGAACGTGCTCGAGCAGCTTGTGCCACGGCCCTGATGAATCAGATCGGAACGGCCCGACCCGGCCAGCTGGGCTGAGACTGAGAGGCTGTGGTTTTCTGGTTGGTTCATCATGGGTCCTTTGATGGTGATAAGCGGCGGTGGTTTCTTGATCCGCAGACCTCAAATGCTAAGAGTGTCCAAAGCCACCTGAAGCATCCCACAGCACCTCAAAGGGTGTGTCATGGAAGGTCTGTCGGGATCCCTTACGAAGGATGATGAAAGTTCTTAAGAGTAATATGGTGCAAATCCCTACCAGTAGTTTGAATCTAGCTTGCTCTCAAAGGGGTTCCATCTTTTAAGACTCCCTGGAAGTCCAGGGTCCTACTTTGTAGGGCCCTCGGATTTGTTGAGGAAAGAGGCCCTAAAAAGAACATCGGCGATATCTTCCATTTAAGGTCCGATGTCCTGAAAAGAACAAGGGGGGGGGCTATTTGATGGACCCTGACTGCTGGTGTTCGCTTGATTGAGGACGTTTGGCATCGTGCAATTCCAGACCTTTATTTCCCACCACATAAAATGAACACCCTCATTTATTTGCTGTCCGCTCATAGCTAGCGGCTAGCGTGAGCAAACGTAAGCAAACGTGAGCAAGCGTGAGCAAAGGTCAAGGGCACAAAACAACATCAAGAGGAACACAAAATCCCCCAGCAAAGCGTGAGCAATCGTGAGCATTGGCATGGCATCCTACACACTATTGCGCGCAATTTCTATATGAATGCGTGGACTTTTTTTCAAGATTGCTCACGACCAAGGTTGTCAGTAAATTGTGGACCAAGGTTTCACAGGATCCGATATCCCCTTTGTTGGGTTTCCTCGGTTCCTCGGCGATGAAACCCCAGCAACTTCTATGGTTTCTCGGACATCGGCCTTTTTAGGACTTTAGGACCTCCTCGGCGGAGGTCCTACTTTTAAGGGTCCGTGGACTCTGAGGGACTCTTGATTCCTGACAATTCTGAAGGGCAAAAAGCGAGCTTTGATTGGCGACTCAAAGCTCGATCGAGCATTAAGATCATTAAGATGCAAACATCTCACTTTTGGTTGATTCATGGTCTCCAAGGTGGCCAGGTTGGTGTTCGCGAGGAGGAAAAAAGGAAAGCATGCAAAAGAAACAAATGGGGTCAAACCCAAACCCAGACCCAAACCCAATGAAGTTAGGCTCTATCCCTGACAGTGACTCCATTTTGCCAAGGGTTCCACAAAGTGTCAATGTCAATAGTTTGTAAATAAGTCCCTCTCCAATCGCCCCGGAAAATATGGAGCCAGATTGATGGGACTTGGATCCAACACGCCCTTTCCACTCAAACAAGATCTTCTACTGCTCGTCTCATCAAGTCTCCATCCTTTAAACATCTTAAACAATTTGTTTTAATGTGGCTGTGGGTCAAATCCCTCTTTTAAAGCAGGCAGGTTGACCTGCCAGGTAGTCTATTCTGTTCATTCCCCGTGGTCAACCAGGGTGTCCCGGTCTTGACCCACAGCCATGTCCGTCCACAAACAATGACTTGCCTCTTGGAAAACAGAACACGGACGCTCTTGTGTTAGTGCTTGCCCGCCATGTAGAGCTGAGAGTGCCCCGCTCTGGACGTCTGGTTGGCACTGCAGCGTCCACAGCGTCCACGCATGGCGGAACCTGAGAAGTGGGTGGGAGGTTCCAATGACGGATGTTCAAGGATCATCAACAATAAAAGGCTGGTTTTATGCCTGAAACATCCTGAAACTCATTGTTGATTTTTGTACTATTCAGCCAGTGTGCTACTCAACTTGGAAATACCTCCTGGTTGTTGTGAGAACAGGAGCTGTGGATTAATGTGTATAATATGTATATATATATATATACGCTTGGCTTCAGCCCAAACTTTCTTTGGGGTAAACAAACGTTGTCACCTTCCATTTAAATTGGTTCCATGCGAGATGTGGCATGAATCAAATAGCTCCAAACAAGAGGGTCCAGCAAGCACAAAGGGCTCAAACCTTGCTGGACGGTGGAACGCGCTGAACCTTACGACATAGGACATAGACATAGGGCTCAAGGCATCTTCATGTAACTGTAACATCCTACAAGCTCTTACAGCAAAAGCTTCGAGGCAAAGCACCTTTCTTGCTGAAATCCCTGCACTTTTACTGCTGGGTCTCTGTTCTCGGGCCCGAACCAGTTCCTGTGGCTGCTCTCTTGGATGACCTGCGACTGGAAGACAAATCGAATCGGAGGACGAATGAGGACTCGACTAGGATGACTTGTCGCTATTGAGGTCTCTCTCCCAAGCTAGGTTGGAAGCTTTTAGGTTGGAAGCCATCGCTATTAGGTTGGAGGCCATTGCTTCTAGGTTGGAGGCTGACTAGTCCATGGACCGGAGTAGACTGGACCAAGGACGAACACGTCGTCCTCCACATCGACGAGTGATTTGGTCACATCCATGTGGGCACCGTCCGTAAATGCTGTACCCATAGCTACCCCAAATAAGTGCTCTTCTGACAGATTCTTATCAATTATTATATATTCAGTATTATATCAAAGTATCATCAACTCCCTGTCAGTGGAACTGTTTTCTGATAAATGAAGCACAACCATGGCAACTCCAACCTCTTCAGCTTGTGTCATACAGCTGTTGTTGTCTCTTAAATAGCTGTCCCAAATACATCTGGAGCAGAACAGTGAATGCCGCCGATCTGAAATTTTGGAACATGATGACAAACTCCGCCAATGCTAGGGTCTAGGCAAAATCCTTTTACTCGTGGGAATCTCCGCTTTGACAGACTTTGGTCAAAGGCAACGCCCAAATTCACCCTGGGCAAAAAGATCCATTTTCCCTCAGATTTGCCTGGAATAAAGGCAAGCACAAAAGAACAGCTCAGTGACTTGTTCTGGCAACCCTGCATCAATAAGAAACAATGCATCATAATGCATCCCTGAAGAACAAGTGCAAACAAGTTTCTCTGGTTCAACAACGTTTTCTTTTGACTGAAGTCAGCCAAAAACCGAAGCTTTTGTCATGGACAAATCCAAGAGCAGGCTGCAGCTGGAGGCTACTCCCCTTGCGCCAAGTTCTGCATTTCACGTGCACTCGCGACCTCTGTGACCAGTGCGACTAATGTGGCTTGGCTGTTGCAGTAGCCAGGCTGACACGGGCGCCGGTCTAAGACTGAACTAGTAGCAAGAAGCTACTAGTAGCTTCTGGCTACTAGATCTATGATCTACTAGTAGTAATGCCCTTGTTACTAGTAGTTAGTAGCGATGCCCTTGTTACTATCACCAAGGTGGCACCAGCCAGGTCAAGCACGATTGTCACTTCTCCCAGTTGGTTACAGCGAACCCTGCGGTACTCGGTAGTTGTTTGCTCACATGCAGTGTGATGCTTTACTAATGCTCACCCAACCAACTCGTGGAAATGCATCTGATTTGAACAACCTCAGAGTACTAGACGTGTATGTAGTAAACCCATCAACCTGCACGATACTTTGATACTTTGTCTGAACCACTGGGGAAGCATTGCCGGAAGCATTGCTTAGATTGGCTCTGTTGCGGTTTCACCGCTGCCAGGTACGTGTGGGCTGTTCCAGACTTGTTCACGGCGTGGGCGCATGGCGCAAGGAATCTCCAACCTCTGCACCTGATGCAACACCACCTGTGGCACCTGAAACACAACAGGAACACCCTCCCTCCCCTGTCCCCTGTCCCCTGTCCCGGGCCGGTGCACCCTGTCATTAAGCGTTTCTTGTTGCTTGCGGCCGGGCCCTGCCGGGGACAGGGGAGGGAGGTGTGATCAAACGAATGGAGAAATGCACGAATTGACTCATTTGGTTTCCGTTTTTTTGGGGTCCGGTTTAGTCCAAGACATCTGAACGAATGGACTTTGGACATGTCTACTTGCTGGTCACTTGCTGCTTCCTGCCCTTTTTCGTCTTGCCAGTGTCCCCGCCAAGGCCACCGGTGCTGATTTTAGCGTTTTCGGAGTTGTCGCTGAGTTGTACCCACCTCTACCGTAGGCACGGACATCGAGAGTGGCACCTGGTCCATGAAAGCCTCCTTGGAGTGCTCCAATCCCGAATCCCAACTCCAGTGACAGGGGTGCTGACCTCCTTTTGGGGAAAAAGCACCGTCGAGTGGTCCCACTCCGTGCAGCCGAGTGGTGGAAGCAGCCAACTGCAGAATAACTCTGAAAGTACTCGCTGTTTTCGGGCGTCGCTTGAAGCTGCGAAGCTCACAAACCTACTAGTACCAACATCCTTCCACCTGGTGTTATCCAACGAAAGCAAATTCAATTGTCGCTGCATTGCTGAGTGATACGTTGAACAATGTTATCACATGTGCGGTTCAAAACGAATCCTACAGACGAGTAATGCAAGGTCTGCTCCTCGGGCGCACAACAGGCTCACAAAGGATACCACCTGAGGGTGGCATCACAAGAGCGACACAAACCGGGGAGAAGCAAAAGGAACAAATGGGACAACATTGGCAAGACCGAAATCCATGTGTCCCAGACTTGGGGCCGAATCTATTTCAGTTTTAACCATCTATAACCCAGCCAAGAATCCATGGTCAGTCACTACCGGAACATGGAGATGTCTTTGTTCAGTCCACTTCCAAGTATCTTTCACAAGGCAACATGGGCATCATGGAATCTATCGCATGTCCACCTCATGAAGCCTCCCCATGCACCGAATGCGGAGCTAGAGATGCATCCAGTTGATCTTGAATTGTGCCGTCACAGGATTGATTTCAACAAAGGAGACCTAACCTAACCCCTCATTGTACGTAGAAATAAACATTGAACTTCGTTGCGGGAGTCCAACTCACAATGAACCTGGTTCTCTCTGGAATGTCGCATTTGCCAACCGAGGCAGCTTGGAAACATAATACAACATTTCACAGCCCAACCCCCAGCCAAAGACTACTCGGAGATTTGGCTACAAGCATTCACAAAAAAAATATGTATATTATATATATACGTATTTGTAATGACTCCTTGGTTTTTCATCAGTTGAATATGTAATGAAAATAGATCATCAGCACTGTTGCAGTTTATGGGGCACTAAAATGCCGGAGTGTTGCCTGTGCTTGTCTGAATGCCTCTTTTTCACTTACAGTAACGAGAAACTAGATGATCACCAGTGGTACATGGAACGATCCAACCCCTGAGGTAGGTGGAGCATTCACATGCAACACCGGCAGGTTGCCCCAAGCTGGTTGACCCCAAAGCAGAAATCACATGAGCAACATGGACTACCAGGGAAGTCAATCCTACAAGCTGATAGGGATGTTCATGGACCTGTCGAGGTATCATCACAAGGGCCATAAGTATTTTGGAGTCTAAATACAGCCACCGAATCCCTTCTGGAGCTCCCCGGCAGACCACACGCGGCACCAAGGGCAGTTGCAAAGGCTGTGGCTCCGCGTTCACTGCGTTAGCGTTAGCGGCGCTCGCTGCGTTTGCCGCGCTCGCTGCGTTTGCTGTGCTTGCTGCATTTGCTGCGCTCGCTGCGTGTGCCACGGCAGCAGAGAGGGGTACTGCATATGGCGGCACATGAGGTACCTGGAGGACAGGTTTCTGCAAATGCTTTGTAGTTGAGAGTTTTGTCGATAGCATGGTTGGTGGAGGTGTACTAACAACATTGATAGACAATATATGAATCTAGTATTGCCCATAGAGGACAATGCATGAGAACGTTCAAAAGATTGAACACGGTCCAATGCCCAGGATGACCTCCAAAAAGCGATTGCTGCATTGCACTTGTCAGGAACATGATCCAGGTTACTGGAAAATAGAATGTCAATTCCACCAAATTGCGGACACTCTAACTCTCAAAAGCAATAAAGCAATCCCTACATGCTTTTAGATGCACATATCTGCTGGTATCAAATCAAAAGGTAACGGTTGACGTTTGGTAAATACACTATATATAGATAAAGCGATTATGCTTCAGGAGAAAGAACGGTTTTTCTTCTTTCCGGTTCTTACAACATCTGTAAGGATCAGCCGCGGTCTAATTAGGAAGTCCATGTTGCGTAGGAAGTCTATTTGGATGGTCGATGATCACCCCCTTGTAACATCAAAGAGCGGAGGATGGACATTCGACATTCGACCGTGTGAGGTGCCGTCTGAGGTGCCGTTTGCAGGATTCTAAGGGGAAAGGGTTCTCAACCTACGACCGCGATGGTCTCCACCCTAAGGGGAAAGGGTTCTCAATGTGCAACCTGAAATGCAGAACAACTTTGGCCTAGTGGGGTATACTTTCAAATGGGGGGCTGAAATGCAAGCCTGACTGTACACACAAGATTCTCAAATCAACGAGCTTCTCTTGCCCCAAAGTTGATGGCTGAGCTTTCAATCACCCTCAATGCCATTTCCTCTGTTTGTAGACACGGCAAGATTGGAGGTCTCCAAACCCAGGGTCTCTGATATCAAAGGTGTTTGTTCGGACGTTGTCCCTGGTGCAAATTACTCACTGAGATGTACAGTCTTAGTGAAGCCCTGCGGTAGTCACCTCAACTTCTGACTGGTGCTTAGCGGGAATGGAATGATCCCTTACTATAGATACCTTAGAATCCATGCTCTCATTCGCACCAGTCTGTCTTTAAGGCTAAAATCTCTCCGCCCACTCTCCTCCTGCCTGGGCGTTGACGCCAGAACGGCCAGCCACCCATTCCACAGGCGGTGCCGGCAGTGCCGGCGGCTCCACAGCTGGCCTGGCAAGGAAGACTGAGCTGAATGTGGTTCTTCATATTGGTTCCGAAACAAAGCAAGAGCTGAATAATGCTGAATAATTAGCTAGCCCGCATGTGGCTTCTCACAAGCGATGCTTCTGGAAATGATTGGTCAAGATGAGTGGAACATAGTCTTCCAAGAATCAATTGTAGCCTTTTGTGTCTGTTGCTGTTAGACTTGCCAGATATATAGACCCTAACTAACAGTCAAAATCTTGATTTTGCCAACGGGTGCTAGGCTGAATTAGGCTGGATATACCCATGTCCAGATATTCTGAAACCATCCAGTGGTGGAGATCCTGTCATGTTCTGTCCAGTAGTGGAGAAGCCAACAAAACATGGAACAAGCACCTCCCACTTCAGACTTGTTGCGAGGTCAAAAGGCTGACGACACCAAATGTCGTGGATCTAAGAATGTCTCCCACAGTCTGCCAGTGTAGACTGCATAGAGATGATTCGATGGGGGAGATTGCATCATCTTTGACACAAGCTGTACGATCCGGTGGGGTCAATATTGGATTTGGCCAAACATAAGTTGCGCTTCATTTAAATGTAAAGCGGTGTGATATATTTGCACCTGCCACAAAAAATGGACTTGTTAATTCGATCCGTAGCTGACCCAGCAGTGCTTATGAGCACGATTAATAAGCATAAACTTTTGTTTGCCTGAAGTGTCTGGCTCAAAACAAGGGGTATGCACTCAGCAAATTCTTGTCTCTTGTCAATTCCTTCCCCTATGGTACTATCTAGTGGATGTCTGTTCTTTTTTTTTCCGGGGTATCCCTTGGTCTTCAACACGCCCAGGGATGTATGCATGGTCAATGCAATCTTCACACATCCGCAGCGCTGTACCCCACAGCCGCAGGGCTGTCCGCGGAAAAATGGCGCCCACCTTGAAAGCGCCTTAGCCAGGCCCTCCGCAGCAGGCTCATCTCCTAAAGACATCCACCTTAGTTTGCCCAACAAATCAATCACAAACGAGTTGACCATATAATATTATCAGTACAAACACCCTCACCATCCCTCACCCTTAATATGAGTACATAAACCTCTTAGGTAGAAAGTACAAATACCCTGTTTGATGCACATTCTTGTTGCCATTTGGGTCCGTCAACCTCACAGAAGAGTTCATCTTTGATCCGCCGAGGGGAAAAAAACCGCTGTTGACCCACTTCGGGCAAATCCAAGAAGAGCGAAACCTTCACACAACCTCCTAAAGTCCTAAATCAACACATCTAGAAAACCAGGTAAGACACCAGCGCAGTGAGCAAAAAAAAACATAGCCTCCTTCAAACAACAATCATGGAAGTGGACGCCGGACTCAGGATGAGCATTTACAAATGAAGGACGCTCAGTTTACATGAGGACATCACATCTGAGAAAGGATTGGCGCATGTTAACGCCATCAACCTCAACATCATCTCACTGTCATTGATGCACATCCTACATAAAATACGCATCAACAACCCAATCAAACGAGTTTTACACCTGACTTCGTTTCCAACTTGGAGCCACACGAGCCCAACTGAGACTGTGAGGCGAGTAGAGCCTGTCTCCGGTCTGGATCAAACGACCGTCTGGGGATACCAATGAGTTTATATAATTACTCGTCTCCGAGGCGGGTAAGGCCACATCTCCAAGGGGCAAACTCGAGACCCCATGGGCCCATGGGCCAAATGCCACAAAAAGTTCGAAATGCCGGTCAAAGAAATGAACCGAACCAAACGCGCCTGAAATTGGATGTCCTAGTGCCATCGAGTGCCCAACGCCCGGCATTTCGGGCGTAGAACAACTGCTATAGTTGCGCTAGGACGTAGGAGGTCGCGTTGTTCCAATGGAGCATGCAAATGCATCTGGGCTGACCGTCTCCACTATTCTCCACATCTACCGGTCTGAACCCCCTGGGTAATCAGGTCGTCCGTGATTACAACCATCAACTGACTCATTGACTCATCGCCGTGGCCAGGCTCCGAAAAACTGTGATCATCAAGGGCCCAGGTCGTTCTTGTACTAGGGCATTACCTTTCGCCTTTCTTGTCTGGAAGGGTAAAATCCATTTGAATGAAGTTCCATTGAGTTCCTCCCCTTCACGGCCGGAATCGCCTGGTCCTCCCCTCCAGGCGAACCGCTGCGTGGAGGCGAGCGCTCGCGCTCACAACGGCTGGGCGGCTGGGGTGCAGGAGAGAAGTGCCTTGCCTGGCACTTGGCAGGTGAAATCCAGATGGTTGGAGTGGTCCAACGCACATGGTTTGCTTGGTTTGCTTTCTTTTCCATGATTGAACACATGCCTACACTAGGTCACTAGGGTGGCTTGTTTGCCTCTCTAGGACAGGATCTGACGGGCAAGCCCCTTCTTGCAGGGTCTGAGATGCTTTCCTTTCAGGTGAACCATGGTGCGCCTCATGCATCCTCGATGCCATAGGCGGCACTTCAGCAAAACCAACGGCAAGACGAGCTCTTAAACAAAAAACATGATGCAAACAATGCAAACAAGTCGTATGTTTCGTTGTAACATGTTGTAACCTGATCAAAGTATCTTTGCCTAGTGTTCTCCTTTTTCTCCACAGAACTTCCATGCCCAACTCCGGTGCAGCCTCCTCCTTTCCGCCAGCCACCGGTGGGGAGGGCGACCGCGACGGCGAGGCCGGACGAGCCTGACGATCACGTCGAACGAACACAACGACGAAGTGACCGCGTGGGGCGTGGGGATTTCGAGGACATGACCTGCTGTGAGGGGAGGGTGAGTACTATGTCAAAGGCTCTTTAGTTCTCGCACCAGTTCGAGACCGTTCCAAAGGCGAAACAGTACATCTTTCCACGGCGCCATCTCTCTGAATGGGTCAATGGTCAAGAACTCATATTCTCCCAAAGTACGTATAGTAAGAGGAAACACCAGGGATGATTGTCAACACTGTGGAACCTCTCCCCAAACACACCGAACTGCCAGCTTTGCCAGTCAGTTGGCCTGGTTCGAGTGGATCGATGGAGGCAGGGGTAATATGAATGAATATAATAACCCCCGGCTTCACCTCTTCGCTCCCTCGCCTTTAAGCCCTATTCTATCATATTCCATCATATTCCATCTATACGTTCTGACTCTTTGACCGCCCAAGCGCCTTCCGCGCCGTGCGTCGCAGCCGCGCGGGCGCGAGATCACGGCTGGGCGCGCTGGCGGACATCCTCGGCTCGCGCGGCTCGGCCCGGCTTGGTCAGAGCAAGGATGGGTGCAAAGTACCGAGTTCTACAGTACTCTTTAAGAATGGATGGAATATAGATTGAATTAGATGATGTAGGTTCTTACCTCAGGACACCTCCTCCCTAGAAGTATCATTACCAAGGCCTATGACGGCAGCTCTTCTCACGGCTCATGATAAAAACAAAATCTCTTGACCTATCACACTGGTGGCCTGGAGGCAGCTTTTGACTTAACAAAGTGCATGGAACAGCTGCTGTTCGGTATCTATAGTTGGTTCAACGCAGGATATACTGATGTACCTTCCAAGAAGCATCCCTCTGCTTACCATTGCTTACCCACGTTTCTCGGTTGGAACACAAACCGATGAACCAAAAACAATTCGTTAGAAAAAGGGTGACATATTCATTCGCAAGACACCGATGGTCAGCCACGGACCACCTATGATCCTGCAAGCGTTTGGTGCACCCATCCATGTCAGTCACATCCAACATCGAGCCGACACATTTGGCGGGTCAAAACCCCCTTTCACCAGGGTAGGTCGGCCTCCTAAAACAATGCATTCTGTTCATTCTTGGTGGTCAACCCAGGTAGCCCGGTTTTGACCCACGCCCATCTCCCGAAACCTCTGAGCCTCAGACTCCATCAGGTAACGTTCCCGCGCAGGACTTAAGCTCCGCCTCGCCGCCAGCCATCCGAATCGAATTCCACCAGCCGGAGCCGGTGAAAGCAGTAGTCCAAGTCATATCCCTTCTTCTCCGGGGATTGCTAACATAAATGAAAGGATGCCATAATTAAACACACACATGAATCGTGGTTGCTTCTTTTCAATATCGAATGTGGAGCAAATAGTTTTATAATTTTAGAGATGAGCAGGTGTTGTGTCCCTCATTTTCAGGTTATGTTTGCAACATGCTGATTCAACATGATTCAGAGCACAAAACAAACTCGATCACTTGCCACCGCACACCACACCAGGGCTAGCACTATCAAATGTTTTGACCCCAGGGTCTTTCATTGAAAACCCCGCCACAATCCAATACAAGTATCAAATATCAAACATAATATACAAATGTAACTATCGGCTATCGGTCATTTCATTTTGGTAACAGGCCACTTCAACAGTGTGTTGAACCGGGCTACACAAGATTGATCGAACCACATTCTACATCAGGTTGATCCCTTCTAGAAAGATTGAAACCTGAGAAGCTGCAAACCGAAAGCCAGCGCTTCCCCTTTTCGACAACTGCGCGTCGAAGCAATCTTGAATGTGACATATACCCTTCAATAGGAACTCGAACAGCTCAAATCCAGAAGATTCTGAAAATGGCCTGGCTCCCTATATGAACTCTGGGAAGACTGGGAAGCGAGGAGGTGGAAACTCCTTTGCTCTCGCTTCGCAGACCTTCATTTTCAAGGTGGCCTGAACAGAGTGTTTTAGGGCAGCAAACCCTGG